TATTTAGCGGCGTTTTTCCAATAAACGCCGCAATAGGTGTTGATATTTAGCTGCGTTTTTCCAACAAACGCCGCAATAGGTGTTGAGATTTAGCGGCGTTTTTCCTACAAACGCCGTAATAGGTGTTGAGATTTAGCGGCGTTTTTTCCACAAACGCCGTAAAAGATCTGGTATATAGCGGCGTTTTTTAGAACAAACGCCGCAAAAGGTCATATCTATAGCGGCGTTTTAAGATACAAACGCCGCTAATTACCTCTTTATAGCTAAAAGAAATTGATTTTGCAAATTAAAACTAATTTGTCAAATGTTGTTTTCTACTCTTTTATTACTCAAATTTAACCTGTAGCGGTTTCCAATAAACTTGACATCCATAACAACAAACTTAAAATCCATAACAAGAAAATTGAAATCCATAATAATAAATCAAAATTTACATTAACGTAAATATAATGTAGTTCAACATTATTAACTATAATAAACAATAATGTCTAAGATATTTTGCTTCTAATCTTACACATTCTTCAAAACTCTTCGTCACAATGAGGCGCTTAAATTCAAAGAGATAAATCCAGTTTATATGGGAAAACAATGATGCAGAGCTAGTATCGTCCTGTCATTTCTTGCATAGATATTTGCTTCATGAGGTCTTACTCCAATTGGCATGCCACTTGAAAAGGTCCCATCCATGGCAATGCAAACCCGATCTCTAGTTTCATATCCAAATAAATCATCAGTTTATATGAAAATCCATTATATCTTACGTTAAAAAAGTTAACAACACATTTCTGCATGGTCAGTCCCAGCAGTCAACAACTCTATGGCATGGGCAACCATCATGATGATAAGCAAAATATAGAAATAGATCTTAATAATTGTGCAGAAACATCCAAGCTTGAATTTCATGATAACTTCTAACAGCTTATCGGACCAAACATATTTTAAATCAATAGCACCCAGAAAAAGGCTCCAAAACTGCATTCCTAACAAACAGAAAGATATAAAGATGGAAATATGACAGCTTACCAAGGACCAAATCCTTTCAAGCATTCTGCTAAAACAACCTGAGAACAGATAAAAGCACAATCTAACTTAAAGATAAGGAAGCAAAAAGAGAATTTAACGGAGATTGTAAATTAATATTTTATCCCCATTTGTCACCTCAGTATTTTCCCCAATAATTTCAATTATAAGCCCCATCAACTTATGTGCATAGGCCATTGGTTTCAATTGAATGCTTTTCTGTGCCAAACTGTACATGATTTCTAACCCCTAACAGAAGAAAATAAATAAATGAGATATGTAATACAAGGAAAGTACATACCATTGTGAATGGCCTGATGTATAACAAGTGAGAAATATACAATTCTATTCAATGGCATGTTGCAGAGCAGAGACTATTAGCATTACCCAACATTATTTGTAACATACTTCTCAAACCCTGATGAGTCTGCTGGTGAGCACACTGAAACCAGAACACCTTCAGAAAAGTGAATAGGTGAAAAGCTTGACGGATGGAAATGCAAAGAATATATGGAACTACTTAGTTGAAACAACAAAAAACAGAAGTAGCATAATAACAACAATCGTTTCCAAGTTAAAACACATTTTAGTCAAATAACTGAACAAAGACTTGCACGAACCTCTTAACTATTAAAATGTTTCAATGAAACTAAAGGTAAATAGAGCTACATCTTTTGGATACAATGCATAATAATTAATATCTTACCAACCTCGCGATTGCTGAGTTGATCTAATTGATAAGATCCATGCAAGCGCAATATTTTAACTTGCATGTGAAAATATAAAACTGCATCCAATCATAAAATTCCACTAAAAAAAAGAACCTAACTTGCTTTCATAATTTTATTAAGCTGAAAAACCACATTAGTCTGTCAGACACATACCACGATATCTAGCCAACCCACAGCAAGTGTTGATGACATAACTTCCCAGTATTTGGGATTATTCTCCACAACCTACATTCAATAAACTGATTAAATAACACCATCTTAGATGAATACAAAAGATTACGAATCAGTCAAACAACTCACAAGCATAAACTCTAGAACTGTGTTAGTACCATACAAAGAAGTTAACTTCATAAGGAAAATAGAAGGTTAATTATTTCAGGACCTGCAAGTTTACAAGTTCTTTTTGAAAATCAACAAGCTTTGCGTGCACTGTTGGGTATGTTCCTGAGAAAAGGCTGTCGTAGTCCTGCCAAGACACAAATTGGTTATTAGTAAACAAAAATCTTTAAAACCAACACAATGTAACGCTTAATGGATATAGTTAAAAAAAGGAAAGGGATTTACAGCTAACCGATCAACAAGGCGTTCAGGTAACCACGAATGAGATGGCTTTTCAGCATAAAACATTTTCAATAGCTCCCACGCAGCCTTTAAACTAGTTGGCTCCTCTCATTTTTGAGGGGAAAAAGGCAACTTGAAATTAAACGAAAGTACCATTAGATTAAAACCTTCAAGCTTAACCATTAGATTAACACATTCTCCATTCTCCCTCCTTTCCATTCTTCATACCAAATAGAGCCAAAATGTCTGGTACAAAATAAAAGAAGAGGAAATTACCAATATGACTGACTTCGGGTAGTCGATAACCGGAACTGAATCCGATTTCTAACCACCAAGAAGGGAATTTATGTCTTTGTTGTACTTCATTATGTAATCCCACCTGAACACAACAAATTCAATATTTTTCAGAACAAAAGAAAATAAACTCCAAATATATTTTAATAAAAATGAAAATTTGAAAACTAATTACCAATCAGCATCGTAAGGTGAGGAATTCATTGATATTTTCACAAGCTGGAGATTGCGTTTTTCTGCTTTAGAGTAGAGCAAAAGGAGAGACTGAACCGTATGCGATCATCCACCAATGAGCATCACTGACTTCGCCGTCTCCGCCGCTGAGCTTCACTTCCACTATTTTTCCTCCTGCATCGTCTTCAACGGAGGAAGGAGCGGCGAAAACTGAGACCCAAAGGTAGTGGCCACGTGACCATGAGACGGAGAGCCTAGAGATTGGAGACTTGAGACAATGACGGAGGGGATACACCGCCGAACCCTGGGAATCTGTACAAATCGGAACTAAAGCACCTCTGCCAGAATCTGACGAGAAGCCTTGCATTTCTTTTCGCCAGTAAATCAGTGAATGGGTCTGTTAGTCTCGGAGCGTTAGGGTTTTGGGATGGAGTATGTAAATGTTGAATTGTTGAGGAGAGGATTAAAAAATTCTTATTAAAAAGTTTCATTTGTACGGCGTTTGTTCTAAAAATGCCACTAAATTACAGTCTTTAGCGGCGTTTGTATAAAAATGCCACTAAAGTAAATTATTTAGCGGTGTTTCTGTAAAAACGCCGCTATAGAATGAGTCTATAGCGGCGTTTGTACAAAAAAGCCGGTAAAGACTCGTACTATAGCGGTGTTTGTACAAAACACCACTAAAGAACATTATTTAGCGGCGTTTTTATAAAAATGCCGCTATAGTATGAGTCTTTACCGGCGTTTGTTCTAGAAACGCCGCTACAAATGTCGCTATTAACCCATTTTGCTGTAGTGATACTAACGTTAATTATATTACTATATATTTTTTTTATTAATATTGACATTAATTATATTATTTTTCTTAGATAAAAAAATCCATAAATCTTGAGAAAATTAGTCTTTGAACCCACAAAGCATGAGAAAGGCCAGAGTTTCCAACGCCAACAAATCTAGAGAAAGCCTACAATCTCTAAGCCCAAAAATCCCGAGACATGTTGGAGTTTGACCTTGGGAAAGACCATAATCTCTACTACCCACAAATCTTGAAATAAGCTATAGGCTTTAATGCCTAAGGAATGCCCGAATCCATGAGTAATATATTTTTTAATTATTGATATATTGATTTATTAATCGGATAATTTAAACTAATAATGTAAAAAATTATTATAATAATGATATTTTCAGTTTCACATTATCATTTTGTTCATTAAGGGAGTCAGAAATATGTTTTAATATTGATTATTCCCATATATATTTGAATATTTAAATTTTTTAGACTAATGGAATTATAGGATACTTTCGAGGGTGATTGAATGTGATAAACCCATTTGTAGTGAAGATAGGGAACAGGAATACCGAGTTACCAATCCACGTAGAAGCATCATGAAAAACCTATACACTAGTGTCCGTGATTGCGACGGCCTTCTACCTCAGACTTAGAGGCAACCCCACTGCTCATGCATAGATTTCATAATTTGACTGCTTACTCTAATATATAATATAATGAATTGAGTATGATAATATGCATCTAAATTACAATTTATTCAATATATACAACAAGATTGAGATAGAAAAATAGAAACTAAAATTAAATTCAAACAAAATCTTTTATACTAGTATATCAGTATAATTTAATTTCTCAAATCTAGTTTAGTATTAATTATCGTCGATCAAAAGATAAAATTGATACATTTAAATAAATTTTATACACTTAAAAAGTATGGATAAAATTACTGTATATTTAGATTTGTTATAGATAAAATACTCCTTAATGAATAAAAAAGTACTTATTTTTTTAATTGAAAACGAGTCAAAGAACATTAAAAATATAGTCGACATGATTAAAGGATCTAAACCAGTTACCTTAATGAAATCCGTTAGACTTTTAGTAGTACTCCCAAAAGAAAAATCAGCAGGCAGCAACAGCGTTGAAGATACGCATGGCGAAGTGATTAGGTTCCATAAATATTAAGTTCTTTATCACATTGGAAAATAGAACCAACAAAAGAGGAAGCGTGGACTCAAAGAAAACTCCATGATCGGTGTAAAAAGCTTGTTGCCGCACCATGCAAATGCAAGCGCAAGAATATCTCTGCCCAGCACCAAAGAATAACCAGCAACCAAGAAACGAATCACCCACGTCTTCATTTTTTCAGTTTCTGATATAACAATTTACTTACACCTCCGAACTTCAATGAATGACTGTTAGAACTCACAATGGCATCACCTACTAATTATGACAAGCGGCCTCACCATCATCCTTCATCTCTCTGGTTTTCTTCATTGAATTTGGTTCTACTCCTCATGGCACCTCTGGTTGTGTTTTTACTTCTCGTTTCTACGCTGAGTCCTCAACATCCCTCGACTCTCTATCCGCTGTCGTTTTCTTCTTATCGTTCTTCGATTGTGCAAGAGCCAACTTTTAATAATTCCATCGTCAATGGATCCTTCACAGATTCTTCTTCCCTGGAAGCAGAAACTGATTTTTTTGCTCCCAATGTGCCCTTTTCAGATGCGATTATGGAGAAAGAAACGCCCCAACTTGTAAGGTTTTTCTTTTCTCCTTTTTAAAACCCTTTTTCTCTTTTTGTTGTTTTCCATGGAAATTTTAGAACTGTGGGATAAAAAGCAGGAGGAAATGTCAAAGAATAAGGAATCTGAAGGTATTGTAAAGAGAAACAGCAAGTTGGAGAGGATTGAAGCAAATTTGGCAAGAGTTCGGTCTTCCATAAAAGAGGCTGCTTTGGTTAGGAATCTGTCATCGATCCATCAAGACCCTGATTATGTGCCCCAAGGTCCAATCTATAGGAATGCCAATCCTTTTCATAGGTATACTGGCTTTAATCACGTGTTCGCGTTTTCTCTTTATCGAATTCGATCTAACAATTAACCTGTCCAATTGGAATGAATCAGGAGTTACTTGGAGATGGAGAAGCTGTTCAAGATTTACGTGTACAAGGAAGGGGAGCCGCCGATGTTCCACAATGGTCCATGCAGGAGCATATATTCCTCGGAAGGGAGGTTCATTCATGAACTGGAGAAGGGAAATTTTTATAGAACTCAAGACCCTGACGAGGCATTGGTTTATTTCCTTCCATTTAGTGTTGTCATGCTGGTTCATTACCTCTATAATCCCGGAAACTTCAAAACCGATGCCATCGGACGGGTTGTTGTAGACTATGTCGATGTCATTTCCGGTAAACATCCTTACTGGAACCGGAGTCTCGGTGCAGATCATTTCATGCTCTCATGCCATGATTGGGTAAGCAATTGTTCCTTTCAAGCCTAGGAAAAGCCACTCTACATGATTGTTTTTGCTTTATTTTTTCATTTTTTTTGGGCAGGGGCCACGAGCATCATCCTATGTGCCACATTTGTTCCATAAATCCATTAGAGTTTTATGTAATGCAAACACTTCTGAAGGATTTAATCCATCTAAAGATGCCTCATTCCCAGAAATCAATCTCTTAACAGGTGAAGTAGAAGGGCTATTAGGAGGCCCTTCTCCGTCTCGTCGGTCCATTCTCGCCTTTTTCGCCGGGCGTCTCCACGGCTACATCCGGTACCTCTTACTCAACGAATGGAAAGACAAACGAGACCCCGATGTCCAAGTATTCGATCAACTCCCCAGGGGTGTTTCCTACACGTCGAAACTGAAGGACAGCCGGTTTTGCCTATGTCCGAGCGGATACGAAGTGGCGAGCCCGAGAATCGTGGAGGCGATCTATGCCGAATGTGTTCCGGTGTTGATTTCGGACAACTATGTGCCACCTTTCAGTGATGTGTTGAACTGGAAAGCGTTCTCGATTCAGGTTGCGGTGAAGGATATCCCCAACATAAAGAAGATATTGATGGGAATTTCTCAAAGGCAGTATTTGAGAATGCAGAGGAGAGTGAAACAAGTGCAGAGGCATTTTGTAGTGAATGCAAGTCCAAAGAGATATGATGTGTTTCATATGATTAACCATTCGATTTGGCTTAGAAGATTAAACATTCAGGTTCGGGATTTTGATCATTCTTGATTTTCATGTCTCAAGCCTTGTTATTTTGTTGTATAATTTTCCTATTGTATTTATGGGGTGAATAAATTTTAATTTAATTTTAAATTATTTGAGTTAATTAAACCAATTTACATTTTTTATTTAAATTCCGAGTTGAAATCAAATTTCAATAGATGTTTCATTCTCAAAATATATCTAAGTGTTTTTTTTATATTTTTCTTTTTATTTTGATAATTAATTTCTTAGGTAAAGTACCCAGATGATCCTTCGATTATAGGGTACTTTGTTCAATCCTTCAAGTTACAAAAATGGTCACCCAGCTATTACTTATGTTCCAAATTTATTTTTTTTCTATTAAAAAATCAAATTCATCATTTTCTAATTGTATAAGTTGGACGTTAACATGATAACTGAGATATGATAAGTCGTTTGAGATTTTGGGATCATATTTTATCATATCATAGTCAACAAGTTAACGTTATATCGTCTACTTTTTAGTGAGATATGACGATTTTGGAACATAATAAATAGTCAAGTGACCATTTTGTTATTTTTAATAGTCAAAGAATTCAACAAAAGCACTACTCTATGATCAGATGACCATTTTATAACTTTTAATCTTTTAATAACCGAATGACATAATAAAATAGTAACATATAATCGGGGACCATTTGTGTACTTTACCCTAATTTCTTTTATTAGAACATATAGAAAATTAATAAGAATTTAAAAAATAAATAAATAGAGAAACACTGATAAAAAAATAAAGTGTTAAATTAGATGCGGTTAGAAAGTCGAAAGTCAAATTATTCATATTAAATAATAAATAACTATTTTATAAAATAAATGAAATTTGTGTTATTATTATTATTATTATTATTAGATGCCGTGCAACCCATTGTGTTGCTTCCTCTCTCTCTCTGCTGACTGTTTAGAGGCTTCCAATTGCCGAAAAAAGTGTTTATCATTAAACTATATAATAGAGTATGGAATTTTAAGAGGTTCTATTAATTAAAAATTTAACCTAAACATTATATATATACAACCGGCCAACTTTAGGCTTACAAGTCAAAGGGCTGGGTTTACCCCTACCCAAATATATTTTAACCGAAATTCTCAATTTAATTTTTTTATTTAATTAGTTTAGTTTCTCTAATTATAAGGAATTTTGTTTAAATTCTTATAAAATTTTAAATTTCAAACATTATTTTAATATTATCATCTTACTGAAATACGTTAATTTTGTAATATAAAAATATATTGATGAGCAAAATAGTTATTAAGACAGTACACGAAATAAAACTTGGCCATATCTTCATATTAGATTTCGAAGTGATCAAGTAGCCGCCTCTACCTTTTACAATGATCTCTATCTTGCCAAAAAGCCGCCTGTCTATGCTTATATAAACCCTCTTCTCCAATGAACAAATCCACAAGTAAAACCCAACCATGAGCTACTTCACCCTTTCCCAATTCTCCTCCATCTTCTTCTTCACCATCCTTTTCGTTTCCTCGCATGCAGCTCTCTTCGAGATCCGCAATGAGTGTTCCTACACTGTGTGGGCGGCAGCCTCTCCTGGTGGTGGTCGTCGCCTAGACCCTTCACAAAGTTGGACCATCAATGTGCCTGCCGGCACTGCCATGGCTCGTATCTGGGGTCGAACCAATTGCAATTTCGATGGCAGTGGTCGGGGTCGTTGCCAAACCGGCGACTGTGGTGGACTCCTACAGTGCCAAGGCTGGGGTGCTCCTCCGAACACCCTGGCGGAGTACGCGCTTAACCAATTCGGAAACATGGATTTCTACGACATTTCGCTAGTTGATGGTTTCAACATCCCCATGGTGTTTGGTCCGACTAGCGGCGGTTGTCGTAATATCCGGTGCACCGCGGACATCAACGGGCAGTGCCCGAATGAGTTGAGGGCTCCCGGTGGGTGCAATAATCCGTGCACGGTGTTTAAGACCAACGAATATTGTTGCACACAAGGGCAGGGGACCTGTGCTCCGACGCGTTTCTCGAGGTTTTTCAAGGAACGGTGCCCTGATTCATACAGTTATCCACAGGATGATCCTACGAGCACCTTTACTTGCCGTGGTAGTCCCAATTACAGGGTTGTGTTTTGTCCCAGAGGCTCGCCTCATCTGGAGATGGTCGGAAGCAAGAGCCAAGAAGAGTGAAGGGTTGGAGCAGTTGATCATCAGCTGGGAATAAAACTAAAATGTTACGATAATGAACCTGTTGTTGTATTTGTACGATGGTTGTGTGTTGTGTTTGATGTAAGAGCCAAAAAAGTAATAAAGATAATCCTTATGTTTTACAATGAATCTGGGTTTCACGAAACAAAATTTTATAACTGTGTCGATGAAAATTTCCACGTAGTTGATGACATACAGTTTGCTAGGTCAAAAGTATTTATTAATAGTAGAGGATTAGCTATGGATACAAGTCAAAACTATTTATTAATAGTAGCCAAAGTTCTACGCTATAGCACACCACCTCACCTAACAAACATCACATACATAGTTTCATGCCACCTTGCACAAAAACAATTAAAGAAACAAAAATTCAAAGATTTTGCTTAATAGAAGAATTCTTCCGAAAACTTCGATAAATAAAAAAGTTTTTCTATTAATCCGATAAATAGAAAAATGACAGCAAAAATATTTTTTTTTTGCAAGTTTTGAGAATTTACCATTTTGTTTATGAATGGTGTTATATTTTTAATTGAGATATTTATGTTGATAATCATTATTATTTTTTTGTTGTAAATAATCTTTAAAAGATTAATATTCAATAAATTTTACTCCACTATTTTTTTTGGGATTACAAAGGGAAATAGGCAGTAAACTTAAGCTACAGAGAAACCCTTAGGAAAGGAGATTCCCCTGATATTGGCATCCAGACACGAGAGGATTTCCGGCGGTGGAAAATTGAAGATGATCAGCTCCTCTTCTAAATGACAGCCCATTTTGGATAACTTATCCGCACAAAAATTACTTCCTCGATAAGTATGGCGAAAAACGATGGACCCATAAACATACTATCATTTTGGTTTTCCAAGCCAATTATCCACCCAAAAAACATATCACCATCTCCAATCCTATGAAGCATTCCTTCAGCTAAGCTTTGTAACCCATAAACAAGGCTTTTCCAAGTGTGTGACCACGAGGAACGACACTGGTTATTAACAGAGACAAAAGGCTGTTGTTTCTCATCCATCTTATAGATTAACTTAAAAGCTCTAACCCATGCTGTTTTTTGTAGAAGGACGAGGTTGTGATATCTCATCTTCCAGAGGCCAAGACCCCCAAGACGTTTTGGTTTACAAACATCATTCCATGCTACCACCACGTTTAACATCATTTCCACCCCACAAAAACCTCCGATTGCCCCTGTCAATCTCCTCAGTTACGTCAATCAGCAAGCGGGTAGTCATCATATTATAAGTAGGAATAGCTGATATTATGATCAACTTTGAGGGCTCGTATTATGATCAACTTTGAGGGCTCGTCCGATTGAATTTCCCATAGCAAACAATATTCTCTCAGTACAATAGTGAACGGGCAACCCAGGGAACCGCACCCAAACTGCGGTGGAGTCAATCGTAGTCGTAGATGGGTGGAAGTCAGCAAACCATTTTCTAACGGTTAAGTAATGACCATAAATTATCCAGGGGCCTTCCTCCAGGGCGAAGCGAAGGTCTTCCAAGGATGAGAACTTTACCAGGAAATATCCGTCCCCCACATCAATCAATTCATAGTCCGCTAAGTCTCTCATCCAGAGCTCGGAAACCAATAGAATCAGACAATTTGACCATCGATTGAAAATATTATGATTTTAGATTACACCCGATTGAAAATATTATGATTTTTTACGATATTTTTATTTATGATTATTTCATGTTATTTCTTAATCTTAAATTAGATTCACACGGTAAAATTATCCTATTTTCTCCGTCACACCTTTTCCTTTTACTTGATACATTTTCACATTAAGTTGGTAAAACAAATATTTAATAGAAATGACTATTCAGTACAAATACAAATGTGAGAAGAAAGTCGTACCAAAAGGGGAAAAGAATGGGCGATAGACTTGTAGGTTCTTTGTGCCAGTATCCAGATCGTGACTGTTTGCATGTGACGGCGATCTGTAAGCAATCTTCATCCTCTACAACCTACATAAAACTAGTGTTATTTTCTGATTCGAATTCCAGGTATATCTTTCAAACCCATTTTTAATGCTGTCTTCCTGAAGAGCGAAGGAGGTCTTTGCAAGCCAATTGAATGGGAGAACTGGTTGGCCAGCTCAACCAGCGTTGTTTTATCCCTCCCTATTTCTCTGATTGAGTTATAATAACCAAGCCAAGCATGATATGCTGCTTCTTTCACACTACCATCAATCTTCTCCATTGAAAACTCCAGCTGCAACAAAGCATTACAAACTCTTTGTAGCCGACAGTTATGAAAGAACCATTAGACACACACATCCCGGAAAGACAGGAGGATTTAATGCTACTAGCTATGTTACTTGGACTCTTCATTGTTCTTTAAGAGCCCATATCAGACTCTCATGTTTGACACGTAAATATGTGGATATGACTGACCTCCAAGGATCCTTCAAATACATGAGAAAACTTTAAAAAAATCTAACTATACCAGCGCCGGATACATACCCGACACTCACACCTATGTCCAGGTAACCTAATAGCTCCTAGGCACATCCACAATGGAAGATACTTTCAAAAACATGGCACCAACCACTTAGAAGATACTTCTGAATGATAGATGAAGAGTAATACTTTATAAGTTAGATGCAGACCTTTTGTTTGGCATCTGCCTCCATATCCGGTAAAGATAGTTTCTCGAGAGGCAAGTCCTTAATTTCATCCAAGAAATACTCTTCCCATGGTGCAATCAATAAGATACCTTCTCCATCCTTGCCTTCCCGTCCTGTTCTTCCTAGGCGGTGTATATATTGCTCTCGGTCTGAAGGAATTCCCACCTGGTAGTAGTAAACAAATTCATTTCATTTCACTTTAAAAAAAGAAGAAGAGGGATACAACACTATATATGTATTTGATAAACAGAAAATTTCTAGTTAAACCGTGGAAGAAGCTAAAAAGGTGCAAGAGATCTTATCAGTTACAGGATTTCTCATCATGATCCAATAATATCATATAACTTAGAAGGTGAAACATAAATGTATTTATGCATGTGTTTCAAAAATTTGAATTGCATGATAAGCCAGTCAAATGCTCAAGTTTTAGGTTCAAATGTACCTGAATAACCAAAGTTACATCAGGATAATCCATTCCTCGAGCCGAAACATCAGAAGTAACAAGAATTAATCTCTTAGATTCCCTAAATTCATCAGAGATGCGAGTTCGATAGATTTGAGGCTTTCTGGAGTGCATCTCCCTAACATTCATTTTCGTTTCTCGAAGAAGCAAATACATCAGTGATGTTACCATCCCAGTCGTACAAAAAACAATGACCTGAGTGCTATAATAGTTAGATCTCAAAAAAGTCCGCAACTACCAAAATTTAAGAGGTAAAACATTTTACCTTGTACTCTGATTCTAGAGATATATGCTTCTTCAAAAGCTGGTGAACAATCTGAAAGTGCAATTCATGTGGTGCAACAAGAAGATATTGCTTAACCTGCAATCAGCAAGGGAAATTGTGCATGTAACATCACTGCTTCCGGTACCTAGATTACTAAAATTCATTTTACAAAGAAGCATGAACTTATCACCATTTATACCTTCTCATGAGTTTCTACACAGCCTAGCCCCACTGTATCAATGAAAGCATGTTCCCTTTTCAAAACGAGCTGAGATATTCGACGAACCTGCATAAGCAAGCAGAATTTAGATCGAAGTTGATTCATACAAGGAAATCTGACTTGTCTACAAAAAATATAAGGTCAAAGAACCTCTTTTGGAACTGTTGCAGAAAACAACAATGACTGCCTTTGACGGGGCAAACAATCAACAATTTTCTCAACATCTCTCCGAAACCCTAGGTCTAATAAGTGGTCAGCTTCATCAAGTATAAGCATTTTCAATCCCATCAAACGCACAGACAAGGTAGACTTGTTCTCAACGTGATCCAACAATCTCCCAGGTGTTGCAACAATTATCTGCAGAAAGTTTCAACCCAGATAATTAGAAAAGGCTAATTGACTGATATTGGAATGCAGAAGATTCTAGAAACATTTTATAATGCTATAAGAATTGCCAGACCTAAAACACAGGCTAACCTGACATGGTTCTAATTCGAGGCGCTTCTGATCAACTTTGAAACGTGTACCTCCAACTAGAGTCTGAACACCTATGCCATTATGATACTTCAGCAGAGCATTTGCTTCAGCAGAAAGCTGACTTGCAAGCTCTCTTGTGGGGCAAAGAATTAGAACAAATACCGGAGGCACCCGCTGAACAGTATTACTACTAGCAGCCTTCAGAACTGTTTCAATTGCCGGAAGCTGTTTTTCTTTAAAAGAAGAATTCGTAGAATAAACAAGAAACTACAAGTTCAGCAATAACAACTAAGGACTGGAAAAGTACCAGAAAAGCTGCAGTCTTTCCTGTGCCGGTTTTAGCTTTGACCAAAGCATCTCTGCCTGCATTAGAACGAGGATTGTCATTTAGAATGTTCAACTTTTATCAAATAAATCAGAACATATTTAAAGGAAAATATTGACCAGAAACAGAGTTAAAGAAAATATTGTATCGGAAATATTGAAAAAACCCTAGCCACAGAATTTTTTATACCAAAAGACCATGTGAAACCCAGTAACATCTCAAGCAAGGCACATAACCGATACAATTTTTTACCTATCTTCAAATCCCTATGTTTTGTATGCCTTCAGCAAATTACCTTTTATAAGACCTAATCATGCATCTTCTACAGATCTACTAACTATAATACCTCATGTCATAGATTGAGCTTCCAGAATCTGGTATGTTCTCTACAATTTAGAAACTTCTACATCAATTTCAATAGCCCACTGCATGAAATCAATTGCATTAAGGGCTACCAATGCAGAAAGAATGAACAACTAACTATAAATCTATAACAAATGTAAAATTGAAAAGCAGAGCAAGCTTTTAAAACAATTCATGGAATAACAGAGTAAGTTCCATGAATATAATACAGAATAACACAATGGCCAATAGAGCAACCACACACACCCTCAAGGCAAACCGAAAGAGTTGCCTCCTGCACTCGAGTCATTTGAAAATATCCAGCTGCAGAAAGTGCCTTGACTGTCAATGGGGATATACCACATTCATCAAACCTGTAGAAACAAAAAACCAAGATTCACCAATTTTCTAATCACCAAAACATACCATATATACACCTATAACTAAAGTAGTCCAACATATTAGCTTGCCTTTTTTTACTATAAATCGTTTCTCCCTCCCCCATTTTCTCTTCAATTTCAGCCAACTTCTTCTTCTCCAACTCCTTCCTAAGCATGGCCACTTGCTCCGAAAAATCCATCTCCATCTTAAGTTCCTTCAATGGAACTCTCCTTTCAATCTTCACGTCATACTTTCCCAACGATGCACTACTGCCTGACTTCTTAACATCCTTCCTGTACCCAACTCCTTCCCCTTCGTCTTCCAAATCCGAATCCCACTCATCATCACTCGAACTATCATCCCTCCTAAACCTTCTCCTCTGTATACCGTTCCTACTCTTTATAAACTTCTGAGCACTCTGAAAATTCGCCTTGTCGCCTTTACCACCAGGATCAGAACGCTTCAATGAATTATCATTTGACACGGAATCAGATTTATCTTGATTAGAAGAAGTCTCATTCTTCCTAAACCTTCTCTGTGCAATATTATTATGCCCCAAATGCTTCAAGGAATCATCCTTTGAGCCGAAGTATGATTGAATCCCAGCAAAAGCATTCTCGTTCACCTTGAACTTCCCGTCAGCCTGAACTGAATAGCTCCTACTCTTAACAAATTGACTATTAGTTACACCACTTGGTTTCACATTCTCTCTTCGACCATCAGATGTAAGTTCCTTTATATTAAGCGGTGCATGGATTAATCCTGACCGTGGATTTCTAGCCGTTTCAACTAACCGTGACCGTTCCTTTTCCTGTTCCTCTGATTCCAACGGACCGTCGTTTTCGTTCCACAAGTCCTCTGCTCCTTCTTTCATGAACCGATCAGCCAGGGCTTTGATGTGGTCGTTGGGGGTCATGGGGTTATAATTTGTAGAATCCGGACTAGGATCGGGTTTGCCGGCTAGTTTGGATCTTATTTGGGATCGGATTCTGGCTTGGTAAAGTTGCTTCTCTTGGTCGAGGAGTCTTCTCTCTTTCTCCTTCGCTTTTTTCTCGTGGAGGCGCTTCCATTGCCACTTGTTGAGGCCGCCGGGGAAGGTCCGTGGACCGCCTCCCATGGCTCGGGTGAAAACATGGGTACGGAGAAGCGAGAGAGTTTTGGAGCGTTGGAGGAGAACCGCGGAGAACATGGTTGGGGTTTAGGGTTTAAGATAAAATTTTGGGGGGTTTAAAATGAAGGTTAACTGCAACTTTTTGCCTGCGCGCTACAGACTACAGTGCCCCTGTATTTCCCCTTCTACCAACAAGAACGGAAATGAAATTACTAACAAACAAAAGGGTCATTTGTGGCATGCACTTTCCGCCAATTTAATTTATTTTAGGGTAAATTGAATCCTAATAATTGTACCATTAGTATGATTAATATTCGTCATTTGACTTTAAAACTTTATGTTTTCTCATATTTTTGGCGATAAATAAAAATAGTAATATAGTGTATGTTTTATTATCTTTTTTGTATTATATTAGTAGTTAACCATCGCCTTCGATAACATATTAATGATTCAACATATTTTTTCTCCTTTAAAAAGACATTAAGAGCACACTATGGACGTAACTGTTCGAACCTGAGACTATAGGACCAATAAAGTCGCTCAATAAGTTTGATAATTTCTAATATTTAAAAAAGAAGTATTTGATATAAACATTTATAAAATAAAGTCACTCATTGCCCAAAATTATAATTCATGTGATTAACTTCAATTGGTATCAATTGATTTCAAAAGGAAGATACATCGCTTGTGTTCTATTGGAGCATGATGGGATGTGCTGATGGTGATACAAATAACCCTAATTGCTATTCACTATTTATAAGGTTAATTACTTGATGAGAAAGAAAACTCAGATCACAAGGAGTCTTATTTGATGCGAATTCCTACTTCTAACCAAACACTAATAAAAGAAGTATAATCTTGTACGAACTAGATGTGCAGCAAGGTTCGGAGATGATGGAAACCGTAACTAGACAGTTGACAGAGCTAAGAGATGATGGAAACCACAACTCCTGTACTTTGTTTTCAGATAAAACTAACATGTATACAAACAAATGTCTATCAAGACCCATAATCCACAAATTAGCAAGAATTCTCAAACCAAAGGCAAAATATGTTGAAGAGAATTGTTCTATTTCACATTCACCCACATTGGCCTACTGTGTGTAGTTGATATGTCGAAGCTATCATACCTGGAATGTTAGCTAAACCGGGGCTCAAGAAAAACCGGCCCTTCGAAACTGACTGAACCCCCTCAATCTGTTCCAACTCTTTGATAAGTGATTCAACATTGGGCCACTGTTGACGTTTAATATCAGTGTGCAAGTGTTAGCCCTGCTAATAAGTAATACCTAATGCTAGTACAAAAAGGATAAGTACAAACATAGTCTGCTTCTGCTGCTTGTAGTCTTCCATCTAAGTTATCATGACCACCAACCACAGTCTCCAAGGCCTCAATCAGTGGTTCTGGCTGTCATGTTAAAAAAAGAAAAAGGAGGGTCACAACATATAAGAAAACTGGCCTCGAATAAGTGAGATTACTTTAAAATTCAGAAACCTAGTTGCTTGTCGATTACCGTTATCTCCTTCAACGATAAAAATATACGGTCCAGTGTGAAATCTAATTGATGAACTTTGGCCTCGACAACCTGAAATCATGAAGAGTATCTGAATAACAACCAAGCCAGGTCTTGCTTATTTGTCATTCATTCCTTAGAACAATAGGTGACTGTTTGCTATGGTTTTAATCTACCGGTATTGTAACACCCCCAACCCGTATCCGACCCGAATACGAGTCCGAAGTGTCACATTGACTTTTCAAACCTTGACTCTTCAGAAAAATCCCGGGAAATTTAAAACTTTATTTAAAAAAAAATACAGACTTTATCAGAGTGCTCGTACTTAATGACTTATTACATGCCAACACTTTATACATAACCAAAAACATACTTTATCAAATATTTCTGATCTGATCTTTTGGTAAGGAAAACTGACCTGTCTTGCTCCGCATCACTCCTTACTCTTCTCGAAACCTACGTGTGAAACAATCACACGCTAAGTCGAAGACTTAGTGAGGCATAACCACTTATAATGCACTTTAAAACCTATATTGATACATGCATGGTTTGTTCTATCATGTTACAGCAAGTTCATGCATTTTTCATATCGTATAAAATCATATCAGAATAATTGCAGTAAATACATGCATACACATAATTCATCATTAACAGTTTATCATATAATCACATACTATTTCAATCAAACACTATACACACAATATCATATCATTTCTATAGCATTTATCATACCACTAACTTATATTTGTTCATATCTCTGGATTAGCCCATGTACATATGTGAGAACTATCGATATGTGAGTCTATAGAGGTTGTGCACTATGCTGTCACCACAGCTCGTATAAATGCACCGAAGTGCCCCGTAGAATTGCACCGAAGTGCCCGTAGAATTGCACCGTAGTGCCCGTAGAATGATGTCCATAAGGACCACGTAGAATTCCTTAAGAATCATATACATATACTATGGATCAAGTATGTGTCTTTCAAGACTTCACACAGGTTCCAAAGGATATACATATGTCCTAAAGAACCGAATAAACCCTCGACTCTTGGCATGCCAACTATACCCCTAGCTCTCATGACACATAACATGGGCGTTATCATTTATTTCATTTCAATATACACATAAACTTGTAATTCACTTTCACATATCACGTATCACATAGCTTCTTTTCATATGATCACATAGTCACGTAGTTCACTTACCCGTAGATCATTTCCATATATTCACATGTCACATATGTCATGTTTTCCTATAATTTCTATCATTTCTCATCCAATCACCTTTATTCATATAAACATACTTATCATATCTTGTTCACCTAAAATCATATACTTCATATAATATATCGAAACACCTAGAACACTTTCACGTAGCTTATAGTCATAAGTTTTGTCTCGTATATACTTGTTTTCACATATATATTCCTATCAATTCTTATGCCATCACATAATTCCTTTAACATACATAACATATCATGTAACATTATAATAGAAATACTTATAAGTCATATCACTTAAAGCACATATACTTATAGTCACATTGCTTATATCTTAATCGTATGCCTTCTCTTAAACATATATATTCACATGTTCAGGTAATTCACCATTTCATCACATAATTGGGTATTCATATAACTCATTTCATTTCATTTCATATCTATCTATATATATATATCCTCAAGATTATCCTAATATAAATCATATAACACTCTTATATTTCGTATTCATCTAGGGCAGACTTATAAACATATCTCACTTTTATTATTTCTATATATAATCTAATCTGTTACTTAATTCAATTTCTTATAGCTCTTATAATCTTCTCATATAACTTCACAAATTTCTATCATTCAACCCATGTGTTATAGTTTTATTTAAACCTATGAATCTTTCCCATCTAGCTTATCTTATACGTTCATCTTATCATTTATGTTCAAATCCCCTAGTTGGTGTACTATTTTCACTTCATCCTATAGATCAATATTATCCAGTTTATTTCACTTATCATATAAAAATATAATTATATTTTACTATGATCACATAGTTTATATCTCATACTTTGCTTTCTCATGTTCACCTATATCATGTCATATGGCTCATATCTTTCTCATGCAGTCACATAGTTCAGTTTCACATATGTATATATATACCTTATATAGCACATACTTCTCATAACATTACATTCAAAAGCATGTCAAACATATATTCATGCATACATACAATTCATGTCATTCATATACGTATAATCATATATTCATGCATTCCAACATAGGAAATAGACTTGTCGCAAGTCTTGTTTCCATTTAGCACCATAAACTAACTAATATGCACTCACCTGGCCTCACTAGCCAATTCCAATCTCTTATCTTTCCCTTGATCGATCTTACTTGCTAAACGTTCCGGAATTGCTTTATGCGTAGAATCTACATAAATGTACATTTCGAGACCATCATTAGATACTTACACCTTGTAATTGGATACTATCAATTTAAACGAACTTATTAAATCCATATCCCCAATTTTCCTTTAGGGGAATCGGTTCCCCCCCCATGGGGGTATCGGTTCCCCTATGACATACTGGAAATTCTTGTTCGTTTGAAGGGGTATCGGTTCCCCTTGAATGGGTACCGATTCCCCTTGCCCAGAAATCATATTTTCAACCCGAAAATTACTTCATTTCCTCTCAAACACTTCATATCATCCCCTTTTCATCCTTAACTCTAGTACACATACTTAAACCAATCTATATTCATTTATTTCATCTTAAACCTCAAAATTCTATCTTCCATATAAGATTCAAAAATCATACCAAATTTCCAATGTTCTAATTCCAATTCTAACACTTCCTACCTCTTAATTTAATCCTTGACAAGTCAAATTCAACTTCACAATCTATTAACTCCTTCCATATCAAAAATTCACTTAAAAACTCATTTTTCTTAATTTCTCATAACTTGTTAATCTTTGAGGTTTAAGCCCCCTAAAGCTTTCCTTAATCTTTCTTAATATCCCAAGAATCAAAACAAGCTTTAAAACGAAAGAATTAACCAACTAAAGACTCACTTACCTTATACCAAGCTTCACGGTGGAGAGGAGGAAGAAGAAGACTGAAGAATGCTCTGAACTCTTCTTCATACGTGCTTATTACCCTTAAAAAAATTATAAAAAATCTTTCTGGTCAAATGACCATAATACCCTTAATTTCCTTTAATAATTACCAAATAACCTTCAATATATATTCAAATAATCATTGAATTCTTTCATTCTTCTACTTTAGTCACCAAATTCTGAAACTTTACAATTTGGTCACTAACCCGGTATTGCGGATGTTACAAATCTCCCCTCCTTTTAAAAAAATTCGTCCTCGAATTTTCACTAAACAACTTAGTAAGAACATATCTTCTAATGTTCTTATGTTACTTCTTTTACTTAATCCTTCTTTCTCTTAGTTCTTCAACTACCTTTTTCCTTTATACATCTTTATCATGTTACTTATCCTATAACCAATAGCATCAGTTCTTATCACTCAAAATCCTTAATCAATCAAATTCTTTATCAAACTTTAATTACCTTATAACCATACCAAACTTGTATTTCGTCATCATTTGACCAAAATACAACTTTAAATCTTTTTCAATGTGTCTATATCAAAAATTGTCCTATGTACTTCCATAGTAATCGTATCTGATCCTTTAAATCAATCCCTTCCATTTCTTTATTCCTTATTCCTTATACATTAATCATATATTTCCTTTCATGTTCACATACTCTTGTCTTATTACTTATACTCATCTTTATGTACCAATCTTCATTTCATCCTCATTACTTTAATAACCCATTTCTTATACATAATTTCATTCTTTATCATTCTTATACTTGTATTTTTCTTCCTGAAGATTCCATGCAAACACTTATCTCAGTTTCTACATCATAGCTATCTGCTCAGAATATACAACCATATTCAAATTCACATCATAATCAATTAACTCAACTTTATCTTTCCTTCAATCCTATTATTCTATCCCTTTTACTCTGACAGCTAGTCAATAATATATGTTCAATCTAGGGTACAAACCCTAATCAACCAAACACATACATCCTGTCAAATCGAAATTATCTTAAAAATTCACTTACTCAACTTATCAATTTCACCTCTATTCTCTTACATCCTGAAATTTCTTTTGCTCAAACTCAACATTCTGACTTCCTGTGTCTTATAATTTGATCATCGATATACACATTCTCAAACTCTTCTTATCAATCCTCAGCTTTACTTAAATATACAAATTCTTACTTCCTTTTCCTTTACTATACCTCATTATTATGATCCAAATATGCAACTGTATCCAGATCCATTGCAGATCTGGTTATCATATCCAGACAATATCTTATAATCTTATAATTCCAGTACATTTTTATCGCATACTCTAGTTAGCCAACGCTAACTTTTCCGTCTTAACTGCAAATCCTTATCATATAAACGCTCTGGCTTATACACAATGTTATTCCTTCATTTCGAACTCATAAGCTCTGACATATACATCTTATACACTTGTCACTGATGCACTTATCCTTGAGTTCTTCTATACGTAATCATCACGTCATTAGATCTCTTTAACATTCTTATGGTGACACCCGTCACCATATTCTATCTTATTCACATAATAGCAAAACTACTCTACATCGTTTTTCCGATTCCAAACGATGAAAATTTTCTATCATTAATCAGATATGATTTCAGCTTTCTGAAATCAACTTTTGATCTTACTAGGCATTTCCTGAGGTGTCCGCTCTTCATCCTGCCTGGCCAGGGCAAGTGAATAGCTATCACAATCAGGAATATCACCTTTCACTTACTTCGAAATTATCACGATCGGATTTCTACTGTGTTAAACTATTCTTATTTTATTAGCAAGACAACGTATTCCTTACACTATCATATCAGAAAATTTTCAATCTATGTTGGCATGTACACCTTTTATGACCTTTTGGACTTCGGTTTATGCCGAGAATCGGCTAAACCATAGCTCTGATACCATTAAATGTAACACCCCCAACCCGTATCCGACCCGAATACGAGTCCGAAGTGTCACATTGACTTTTCAAACCTTGACTCTTCAGAAAAATCCCGGGAAATTTAAAACTTTATTTAAAACAAAATACAGACTTTATCAGAGTGCTCGTACTTAATGACTTATTACATGCCAACACTTTATACATAACCAAAAACATACTTTATCAAATATTTCTGATCTGATCTTTTGGTAAGGAAAACTGACATGTCTTGCTCCGCATCACTCCTTACTCTTCTCGAAACCTACGTGTGAAACAATCACACGCTAAGTCGAAGACTTAGTGAGGCATAACCACTTATAATGCACTTTAAAACCTATTGATACATGCATGGTTTGTTCTATCATGTTACAGCAAGTTCATGCATTTTTCATATCGTATAAAATCATATCAGAATAATTGCAGTAAATACATGCATACACATAATTCATCATTAACAGTTTATCATATAATCACATACTATTTCAATCAAACACTATACACACACAATATCATATCATTTCTATAGCATTTATCATACCACTAACTTATATTTGTTCATATCTCTGGATTAGCCCATGTACATATGTGAGAACTATCGATATGTGAGTCTATAGAGGTTGTGCACTATGCTGTCACCACAGCTCGTATAAATGCACCGAAGTGCCCGTAGAATTGCACCGAAGTGCCCGTAGAATTGCACCGTAGTGCCCGTAGAATGATGTCCATAAGGACCACGTAGAATTCCTTAAGAATCATATACTATGGATCAAGTATGTGTCTTTCAAGACTTCACACAGGTTCCAAAGGATATACATATGTCCTAAAGAACCGAATAAACCCTCGACTCTTGGCATGCCAACTATACCCCTAGCTCTCATGACACATAACATGGGCGTTATCATTTATTTCATTTCAAATATACACATAACTTGTAATTCACTTTCACATATCACGTATCACATAGCTTCTTTTCATATGATCACATAGTCACGTAGTTCACTTACCCGTAGATCATTTCCATATAATTCACATGTCACATATGTCATGTTTTCCTATAATTTCTATCATTTCTCATCCAATCACCTTTATTCATATAAACATACTTATCATATCTTGTTCACCTAAAATCATATACTTCATATAATATATCGAAACACCTAGAACACTTTCACGTAGCTTATAGTCATAAGTTTTGTCTCGTATCATATACTTGTTTTCACATATATATTTCCTATCAATTCTTATGCCATCACATAATTCCTTTAACATACATAACATATCATGTAACATTATAATAGAAATACTTATAAGTCATATCACTTAAAGCACATATACTTATAGTCACATTGCTTATATCTTAATCGTATGCCTTCTCTTAAACATATATATTCACATGTTCAGGTAATTCACCATTTCATCACATAATTGGGTATTCATATAACTCATTTCATTTCATTTCATATCTATCTATATATATATATCCTCAAGATTATCCTAATATAAATCATATAACACTCTTATATTTCGTATTCATCTAGGGCAGACTTATAAACATATCTCACTTTTATTATTTCTATATATAATCTAATCTGTTACTTAATTCAATTTCTTATAGCTCTTATAATCTTCTCATATAACTTCACAAATTTCTATCATTCAACCCATGTGTTATAGTTTTATTTAAACCTATGAATCTTATACGTTCATCTTATCATTTATGTTCAAATCCCCTAGTTGGTGTACTATTTTCACTTCATCCTATAGATCAATATTATCCAGTTTATTTCACTTATCATATAAAAATATAATTATTTTACTATGATCACATAGTTTATATCTCATACTTTGCTTTCTCATGTTCACCTATATCATGTCATATGGCTCATATCTTTCTCATGCAGTCACATAGTTCAGTTTCACATATGTATATATATATACCTTATATAGCACATACTTCTCATAACATTACATTCAAAAGCATGTCAACACATATATTCATGCATACATACAATTCATGTCATTCATATACGTATAATCATATATTCATGCATTCCAACATAGGAAATAGACTTGTCGCAAGTCTTGTTTCCATTTAGCACCATAAACTAACTAATATGCACTCACCTGGCCTCACTAGCCAATTCCAATCTCTTATCTTTCCCTTGATCGATCTTACTTGCTAAACGTTCCGGAATTGCTTTATGCGTAGAATCTACATAAATGTACATTTCGAGACCATCATTAGATACTTACACCTTGTAATTGGATACTATCAATTTAAACGAACTTATTAAATCCATATCCCCAATTTTCCTTTAGGGGGAATCGGTTCCCCCCCCATGGGGGTATCGGTTCCCCTATGACATACTGGAAATTCTTGTTCGTTTGAAGGGGTATCGGTTCCCCTTGAATGGGTACCGATTCCCCTTGCCCAGAAATCATATTTTCAACCCGAAAATTACTTCATTTCCTCTCAAACACTTCATATATCATCCCCTTTTCATCCTTAACTCTAGTACACATACTTAAACCAATCTATATTCATTTATTTCATCTTAAACCTCAAATTCTATCTTCCATATAAGATTCAAAAATCATACCAAATTTCCAATGTGTTCTAATTCCAATTCTAACACTTCCTACCTCTTAATTTAATCCTTGACAAGTCAAATTCAACTTCACAATCTATTAACTCCTTCCATATCAAAAATTCACTTAAAAACTCATTTTTCTTAATTTCTCATAACTTGTTAATCTTTGAGGTTTAAGCCCCCTAAAGCTTTCCTTAATCTTTCTTAATATCCCAAGAATCAAAACAAGCTTTAAAACGAAAGAATTAACCAACTAAAGACTCACTTACCTTATACCAAGCTTCACGGTGGAGAGGAGGAAGAAGAAGACTGAAGAATGCTCTGGACTCTTCTTCATACGTGCTTATTACCCTTAAAAAAATTATAAAAAATCTTTCTGGTCAAATGACCATAATACCCTTAATTTCCTTTAATAATTACCAAATAACCTTCAATATATATTCAAATAATCATTGAATTCTTTCATTCTTCTACTTTAGTCACCAAATTCTGAAACTTTACAATTTGGTCACTAACCCGGTATTGCGGATGTTACAGGTATACTCAAATACCTGACCGGTTTTGAAATATGACTAAGGATCCAAGGTGGCATTCTATGATACTTCAGTCTGGTGAATCAGAGCAGGAACACCTTCAACCTATTTAGTACAATTAAATCATAATTCGAGTGAGAAAAAGAAAACATTAAAGGGCGTATAATCTCAGAGACACAGATGTTGTGGCTTCATGCTAAGGAAGCATATGTTCATAAGGAAGAGCAACAAAAAGGAGCAAAAATGCGCATGACACTGTTGCCAGACCCGGACTACAAAAACTTCTCTTCTAAAGAGACGTCAAAAAAGGCGATACCGGAAACAATCTACAACTTTATTGTTCTAAGAACATGGCTACATTTTACGTCGAATGATAGAGATGCAGTCACTTCCTGACCAAATTCCCCAATGATGATCCACATATTAAATATAAGCTTACAGTCTTATCAAATATGTATCTACTCTGTATATGGCAGCATGATACATATAAGTTTACTTCAGCTGTTCCAACAAAAGTTCTGGATGTGATCTTCAAATAGGGAAAACACTAACATTAATGATATACGGAAATAGAATTAATGGATTTCACATGAATACACACACAGAAAATGATGAACACCAATATTGGAATGTCCGACTTACAAGCCAACAGAAGCAAAGAAAAACCAAATTCCAGGGAAAAAAATCTCCAACTAAAGATGTCAACTGCTGAAACATGCAAGAAATTTCTTCGGTATATATCCAGTTGAACGATATTTGGCTGCTGTCTCCTCTATCTTGAGAAACTCTTCGCCTTTCTCGGCTTCGATCATCGCTCTTTTCTCTTCTGCTTCCATATGGAGTTCAGCCGCTTTGTTCTTCATTCTCTCAGCATACTCTGCCCTCTTTTTCTCCAGTTTTTCCTATAAAAAATCAAGCCCTTGGTCAAATTCAGTAATCTTAAGCTAGTTCAAATTGTTCAATGGTTACCTCGAAGCTCCTTAGCTGTGCTTCTACGTCAGCTTTCTTGGTATTCTCCCATGATCCAATAGCAGATATCTTCTTGTGTGCCCTGATTCAACATTTCCCAGAATTCTAAATTGCTTAAAACAAGGATTTTGTACAGAAATTAGAGATGACTGTTGCTTACTTGTTGTCTACTTTTGCCTTTTCATTTTCCTCCCATGCTTTGACTAAAGCTAGTCTTTTTTCAGCCTCAACTCTTGCAAGCGCAGAATCTGGAAACAATGACCTGATAATCTCATATCATTGGAATAATTCAAATTGTCTATGAACAGAGAGAAATCATACTTTCATGGATATGGGGTGATGGTCCATGATCCTCCATGTCTTGTTTAACAGGCTGTTGCATCTCCTTGGGTTCAGTGGCTTCCTCCTCTCCCATAACGTATTCGTTTAACTTAGCCACAGATAATCCACCGATAATGACACCAGAAAAGTCACAAATCTGGGTAAAATTCTACAGAAATTTTAAGAAACAGAAAAAAAAAAACACCAACAGAGAAACAGATGGAGAAGAAAGAAACTCTTGGAAATGTCAGCTGGAAACTACCATGGTTGTTGTGGTAGGTTACATATAGAAGTGGGGTCTTTTCTTTATAAATTTTATTATACTATATAAAAGTAGCTTTCTTAAAGCAAAGATAGCATCACACGATAATTTAGGATTTTTTTTCATATTTATTTAATGCATCATGCTAATAAATAGTTATATATATATATATATATTATTAATTTTAGATAATACAAGGTAGCATGTGTTCAAAGATAACTCTTAACAATTTGACATCAAACGTCCATATCTCTGACATTCCTAGTGCTCGAACCCAAGACATCAAATAATAATAATTCATTTACCATCAAGATCACTATGTTCGTGCTGTTAATAAATAATTAGAAATAAGATAAAATACAAAAATAGTCTCCTAACTATGATATTATTTTATTAAGTCTCTCGACTATTAAAAGTTATAAAATGGTTATAGTTGTTTTGTGTCCATCAACTATCAAAAGTTACAAAATAGTCACTCACTATTTATTATGTTCCAAATTCATCCTTTTTATTTAAAAAAAATGATGGTTGTCTTAGCTGAGTGTTATCATAACGATTGAGATGTGATAGTCGTTTGAGATTCTGATATTAGATTTTATCATATTATAGTCAGCAAGGTAAAGTTCAACTCAAAATAGCGTCAATTTTTAACATAAAATGACGAGTTTAGAACATAATGAATAGTCGACCGGAGATTCACTTGCTAATTTATTGTTTGTGGTTGTCCCCGTTTATATGAGTCCCCATGATTGATCCGATAGAGTAATTGTTTAGAAAAGATAGAAATCCAAAATCTTAAACCTAATTTTGCCTAAAATCTTTCATTATTTAGAAATATGAAACATATATATCTCAAAACAACGTTTATAGTCAAATGATTATCAATACTCTAATCGACCACAATTAATTATGATTTTTCCTATCTTATCTCTATTCATCGTCAACTCGCCTTCAACTTTGGTTAACTTTTGTAAGTAAATTACTATTATTCACAGGGATAAACAAATTTCGATTCCCCTCGAAATAAATTTGATTTTAAGGTATTTGTGTCAATTTAATATTTTTTTTCTTTTTAAATTTTAAATTTATCGAGTTTGAACATTTAAAGTAAAAATAATCGAAAAACTACAAATTATACCAAAGTTTTTTTAAAATTTTTAACTAAGCAATTTAATTGTTTTGTGAATTGATCTCTGATCTTTTTGTTTCTTCAATTCTCGCTTTGGCAATAAAGTTATACTTTTTTTTAATTTAGTCATTTTATCTTGTGTTTTATTCAACTCGATCCTCTAATTGCAACTCTTTGTAAATTCTTTCTTCCAATTAATAACCCCATCAATATTTTGCCCTCAAAATCTACTTTTTTATATAAAAAAAGTAATAGAATAAATATATTATATAATTTTAAAAGATATTTGATTTATTAAATAACATTATAGATGTTATTTACAAAGTGGAAAATGAATATAAAATATATATGTATATCATATGTGGTTAAATAGAGTCGTTTAAATTTGAAATCACTCAGTGTCATAATATTATATATAATTATAATTAAACTAAAATAAAAATTTAAATAAATATATTTGATTCAACTTAAATTGATTAAATAATCGATCATAATTATTAGTTAAAAGAAACTTTTATTTTTATCCATCTAATTTGTTATGACAACTAAGGGTGTGTTTGGTCCACAGAATGTAAGATTATCAGTGGGAATAAAAGATTAATGGGAATATTGTATTTTGTGTTTGGTTGGTTTAGCATGAATATAAGATTACCGTGTTTGGTTAAGGAATAAAAGATTATTAGAATGTATATTTGACCAAATTGTCCTTATTATATATTTGTTTTTTTAACAAATTGGAAAATATTTATATATTTTCTTTAAAAAATTTAAATTCTTAAATTTATATAATTTTTTTTACAAAATTAAAAATATAAAAAGGTTTAATGAAAGAGTAAAATTTTATTTTAACTTCTGAACTTCATATAAAATTTTAATTATAGATTTTTTTGTAAATCTAAAATAGTTTAAGGATAAATTTATAATTTAACATTCGTAGAATTTTTATTATTAAATGACAGAAGAATGATATTTTTGGGAGGGAAATTAAGGGCATTTTAGTCCAAAACGTTTGTAATCCAACAATACCTAAGAGAAGGGATAATGACATTCCCAGTAATATACCCCAAAAAATCTACTATTGGTAATAAAACATTACTGAAAATAACATTCCCGGTCAACCGAACGTGAAAATGTGGATTTCATTCCCATGGGAATCCTACGTTCCCCAACCAAACACCCCAAATAGTATTGGGGTTTGTTGACGAAAACGGGTAAAGAAAACAAAAGAACACGAGAATTTTACGAGGTTCGGCTGGTACATAATTATAAAATCAACCCTGTACCGTACCGTGGGGGCGCAGCCCCCACACCCCCAACCCTCATGTCCTCTTTACTGGTATATTTATGAGCCATACCTAACAAATCTCCACCTTGGCGAATATCCTGCCCCTTGGAAACTTCAATGTGGGTTGGGTTACCTTGCTTCTTTAACAACTCGAAACATTCAACAAGTCCAAGCAATGCTTGAACTTATCTGTCGTAACTGGCTTGGTGAACATATCAGTGGCATTCTCATCAGTATGTACCTTCTGAAACAAAACCTCTCCAAATACAACCAACTCTCTGATCTTGTGGAACCTTACATCAATATGTTTAGTTCTAGCACGATACACCTGATTCTTAGCCAAGTGAATAGCACTTTGATTATCACAAAGCAACTGAACTCCACCTTGTTGAACACCCAACTCCTTCACTAAACCAGTAAGCCATAAAGCTTCTTTTGCAGCTTCATCCGCTGCCATGTACTCAGCTTCAGTTGTAGATAGAGCCACAACAGATTGAACAGTAGACTTCCAACAAATAGGCCCTCCACCAAGAGTAAAGACATACCCTGTCGTAGATCTTCTATTATCCAAGTCACCTGCATAGTCTGAATCCACATATCCTACAACCAAAGGATTATCCCGCTGACTCCCAAAAACAATTCCATGTCCCACAGTACCCTTTAAGTACCGAAAGATCCACTTGACTGCTTCCCAATATTGCTTACCAGGTTTAGACATGTACTTACAAACTTGACTAACATCATGAGCTAAATCAGGATGAGTACATACCATCGCATACATCAAGCAGCCAACAACATTAGAATACGGAACCTTTGCCATATCTTCAGCTTCCTTATCTGTTTTAGGGCACTGTTCTGATGAGAGCTTAAAGTGATTCGCCAATGGAGTGCTAACTAGTTTCGCGCTGCTCATCGCAAACCTTTCTAGCATTTTCTCAACATAACCCTGTTGAGATAGCCGCAGTTTCCTTGAGTCTCTGTCCCTGCAAATTTCCATTCCAAGAATTTTCTTTGCAGCACCTAAATCTTTCATATCAAATTCCTGACTCAATAAAGTTTTCAAACCGATAACATCATCCATGTTCTTCGCAGCAATCAACATACAGTAATAGAAAAATAAAAGAACCATCATCAAGGCTCTTAACATAGACACAACAATCATACTCACATCGGTTGTAGCCAATCTTGATCATATAGGAGTCAAACCGTTTATACCACTGTCTCGGAGACTGTTTCAACCCGAACAAAGATTTCTTCAATCTGTAAACTAAATGCTCGTTTCCAGGTTGAGTGAAACCTTCAGGTTGCCGCATGTAGATCTGCTCCTCTAAATCACCATGCAAAAAAACAGTTTTAACATCCATCTGCTCTAAATGCAAATCCCAACTAGCCACCAATACAAGTACTGCTCGGATTGAAGTGTGCCTGACCACAGGAGAAAAGATTTCATCATAATCAACTCCTTTCTGCTGTGAAAAACCCTTCGCTACCAAACGAGCCTTGAACTTCTCCCCCTCTTTTTCTGTTACTGCTGGTTTCTTCTTATACACCCATTTGCAACCAATCGGCTTCTTACCCTCATGAAGGGGAACTAACTCCCATGTGCGATTGTGATTCAAAGACTCAATCTCCTCAACCATGGCTGCCATCCACTTGTCGTTTTCCTGACTAGTAACGGCATCATGAAAAGTAATCGGATCATCACTGCTAACAATAAGTGCAAAAGATACCAGGTCTTCAAAACCCAATCTGTTCGGAGGCTTTATATTCGTCCGTCTCACCCTGTCTCTGGCGAGACTATAATCCTGCAAATCATCCGTAGTGGAACCACCAGAAGTCGGTTGAGAAGTTTCTGGTTTCTCAACTGGAAACTGCTCGAAATCCACCACTGTTCATCAAAAACGACATCTCTACTAATCACAACTTTCTTCGCAACTGGATCCCAGAACTTGAATCCTTTGACACCTTTCTTGTAACCCAGAAAAATGCACTCCTTCGATTTTGCATCAAGTTTAGATCTCTCATCAGCAGGTACATGCACATAAGCAGGACAATAAAAAATCTGTAAGTTATCAAAACTAACATCATGACCGGTCCATACCTCTTCTGCAACTTTCCCAGCCAGCGATGCCCTTGGCGATCTGTTGATAAGGTAACACGCCATGTTAACAGCCTCAGCCCAGAAGTGTTTGGGAAGCCCCGCATTCAACCGTAAACATCTGGCTCTTTCATTCAACGACCTGTTCATTCGTTCCGTAACACCCATTCTGTTGTGGTGTCTTGCGCACTGTAAAATGCCTCTGAATCCCATGCTCCTTACAAAATTGTAGGAACTGTGAATATGTGTACTTCATACCATTATCAGACCGCAAACACTTGATTTTTCGTCCTGTTTGGTTTTCTACCTCAGCTTTCCACAGCTTGAACTTCTCAAAAACTTCAGATTTCTGTTTCAAAAAATACACCCAAACTTTCCGTGAAAAATCATCAGTAAAAGTAACATAGTACCTAGATCCACCCAAAGACGATGTCGTGGAAGGCCCCCATACATCAGAATGCACATAATCAAGAATCCCTTGAGTTGTGTGCTTCGCAGTCTTAAAACGGACTT